CCAAAACAAACTAATTACGTAATGCCACTAGATTGTGTTGACATCTAATAATTTCATATGAGAAGACAAGAAATTAGAGATTAATGGCAGACCTGTGATGTGAAGAAACACAGCTCACTCTCGATGTTTTCATAGATGTCATCCTCCTCACATGAAAACCTGCGAGTGCCGCCTCCGTAGCGTGGCTTCACTGCCTTTTGCATCCCCATCTGTTATATATATATATATACACACACACACACAACACCTTATTTTTTCGTTTAATTTTTATTTCATGTGTCTGGTTTCCGGGGTCATCCACTTCCATGTTTTTTGGCTGTAAAAACAGCTCTTTTCGCAGCTTAATATTGCAAACTGGTGTTTCTTACCATATTGCATTAATGTATTAATTATAAACACACTGGTTTGTAGCACAAACAATTTTACCATTTACTGCACTTTGTTATTATTTTCGTTATTTCCCTACAGTAGCTAATGAACTGAAAATCTCGAACATTCACAGAAAAATAAGGTGGATATGTGTGTGTTTCTGTTTACAAAAAGAACCTAAAAATTGAATTAATTCCATCATTAAGGGCTTGAGTGACTTATCGTATAGTTACTCTATATGTCCACTAAAACGTCATCACAACCCAATCAGCTTTCCAATTTGAGCTGTCATCCTATTAAGGTCAAACCAAACAGACATTTCAACAGAGTTGTTGTCCACAGAAACCAGGCCTGTTTTTACACTTACCCAAATCCTTTAAGCTCACCATTACACCCAGAAATATGTTTTTTTGTGGAAAGTGTTGCTTTAAGGAGGGCTATTGCTAATGTGGCAAAATGAGGGTTAGTGGTTGTATATATATTATTAACTAATAGTGTGTGTAATAGGAGGGCTATTGCTAATGTGGCAAATTCAGTCAAGTTGCTGTTTCATTTACCATAACCAATACATTAAACACAGCTTTCTTGTCATGGTAGCACCGCTCATTCTAAGTTTAAGCATTTTTTTTTGGAGGAAACAGAGTCATTGTGTGAGAGATGTTATCAATTTTCTGACCACTGTGCTCTTTTTTAGAGACAGTTGCATGACGTGTGAAAAAAATGATAAGTGAAGTTCACTTTGGCAGCCTATACAAAATTACATTTCATGAGTTTTTGAAGAATTGAAAAAACACACATGCAAAAGTGTGAGTCTGAGATATTACCTGATTGCAAGAGCTTTCATATATAAAACAGATCAGGACAGAAAGAAGAACTAGATAAAATAGTAGCGTATCACAAATGTTCAGCCCCATTTATGGCAAAATATTTATACAATTACATTAAACAGTGTGACATCATGAATCTGCATTTCAGCTGCTGGGCAGCTCTAGTGGTTTTTAACAATTTTGGCTGAGTGACTGCATTCAAACATAATGAACATCAAGGGAGGATTTGTGGCATAACAAGCAGGATCAATGCACATATGGAGGAGAATGATTCTGCCTCAGGAAATATATGGAGTTATTAAAGTACAATTGTTTGAAAGACATAATGGTAATGATCTGAATGAGCACAATTACAGATATTTTCATCAATAGGTAGGAAATGTTTTGTGTATGTGCTTATGTGTCCACCACATGGAGGTGAAGAGCCTATACATATACCATTTAACACTTACACACAATGTCAACAGACGATAACGAACAGGCAAATAATGTTTACTAGACAAATATTAGACCTTCAGATATCAAGCTTTTGTATTGTATTCTGCCCCCAATAGCTATCAATCTTGTCATACACTAGAGAGAAAATACACAGCGATATATAAACACGCATATTTTTGGTTTGAGCTCACCTACGACAGCTGGATAACAACATGCGAGCGTCTGTATGACGGCTGTCTGAGTGTCACTCACCTAACACCGCCGAGGACATCGCGTGAGATCTTCGCTTTGCTCTGCTTTATGAATACGTCAGCTGTGCTGTTGCCGTCGTCGGTACTGGTGCTGAAACTGCACGGCCAGGTCCAGCAAGGCTTCCCCAGCGGCCAGAGCCTTATCCAGATGCAAACAGGTGCAGAGAGTCCATTGACCACTGAATAAATCCTCAGTCACATGCTGACATCGATCATCCATGGCGCTGTCAGCACTCAGCGGATTTCCTCATCATTTTAGAAGAGCAGTTTTCAGCTTCCATGCATTCGTACACTACGTTCGGCCGCGTAGCTCTATTATTTCGCTGTATTTGTCTGTTTTGTTTGCCTGTAGGCTAAGTTGTTGTATGCGCCATCTGTTTCATCTTGACTGGAAAATTGCGCAACGTGAGGTGCATTATTCATAGATGTACTGAAACGAGCCAATGAGAGTGAATGCGCAAAGATCTCGCGTACAAAGAGGTGGAAATTCAGTACAGGTGAGAGCAAAGACTGGATTTGGTGGCGATCTGAACATGTAATTACTGAACATATCGTCTTACTGAGGTTGTTTTGTACTTTGAGCTGTATTGCAGCCGATATTGATCACTTCTTTAAGGATCATTCCATGAAATGGGTTGTTTGGTGTCCCTTATCAATTCCAGTCATGGGGGCCCCCTGCTCTGCACATTTTGCATGTCTCAGTCCGATATTTAACACATGATTGAGATCATCAGCTCGTTAGTTCAGATCATGGATCTCTCTCCTAACAAGCTGATGATCTCAATCGGGTGTGTTAGGGAGACATGCAAAATGTGCAGAGCAGGGCCCCCCCCCCCCCCCAGGACTGGAATTGAGAACCACTGCTGTAAAAAAACAACAACATAAAGCTCGTTTAGCTACACATCAATAAAAATCGATTAAAAGTATGTTATATTTAATTTTTATTCTTCTTTCTCAGTGTAGATGTCTTTCTGACCCCATGTTTGCTCTCATGTGTTTTTTTCCCCCCGTCGATACATGTTTTTAGATTATAGTGGATGTAGGCTAATATTTTATAAACACGTGTTCCCAGTTTATGCATCAGCCCAGTTACCATCATGAATTCGTTTAATTAAATTGTGTTGCATAATTAAAAAAAAAAACTAGAAAGAACATCAAGGACCTAATGTCACTTTATCACTTTATATTGTAGGCTACTGTAAATCCACTTTTGTCAGTAGGGGGCGATCTTAAATCGTTAACCCAGCTTTTGGTCACTAAACTGATTATTGAAAATGTGATGAAAAATAAAATGCTGTAAAAATATCAGCATTTAATGAAAGCACAAAATTAACAATAAAACTGTCACCCTGTTACCTCTGTAAAGACGCAGCTTTTTTAAAACATTAAGCTTTTTACATTTAGAATGGGATGAAAAATGGGCCTACATTCGCTAATCTTTTTTTTCTAATAGAATATTTAAAATCTTATAAATGTATAAAATTCACTCTAAAAATGACCTTTTCAAAATAGAAGAGGCACCCATTTCATGGAATGGCTTTCAAACAGTCCCTGTCACTTAGAACCTAAAGACTAAATTATAATTGGTTTACGGACGGCTGTTCAGCTTGACAACCGCGTAGGCCTATAATTATAACACTGACTGATAATTACATTGTCAGTCTACATCAGCAATCAGTGAAGGCAGGACCCCTGATAATATTTAAATATCAACCACTTTCTTATTTATTAGGTGCATGTCTCATAAAGTCATTTGCACTCAAGTTTAAACTTATTGTGTACTGAAGATTCATTACATTTATAACTAATAATAATGACTATTAATTAATACCTAACAATGCTGGTTCATATATAGTCATAAACTCCTAATTCAGAAATCGTGACATTATTTATAAATGTTGTTGAAATTTCATTAAAAATCTATTTTTACATGCAGAAGTTGGATCAAAATGTCATTACTATCAAAAATTTGCTTTAGGATTAGACTGTCAAAAATTATATTATTTATATACATACATCATTTACTTTACAATAATGATCTCTGTGGAATCACACATATGCACAAAAGCAAAGAAATATATACGTTTTGTTAACTTTGGACATTGCACTGAGCAGATACAGGCCATTTAGTCAAAATGGATAATGCCAGAGTGTTTAATTGGCTTATGTCTTCACAAGGAGGAGTTTTAAAAAGTAGTTTTTTCTTGTAGGGTTTGACTCGCTATTATAGCCCTTCCAGAGTTATGAACTAAAATGCAGAAATGTATTTATGATTAGCACCACCTGGTGTCTGACATGTGTGTTGGAGCGCTTGAGTACTGGAGAGATTTGAATACACCACCAATCTGAGATCTCTGTGACAACTCACACACATGCACGCAGACACATTTAGGCCAGACATTTTTTTAGAAATATAATAGGGTTTCAGAAGCTTCAGTGCTTGGACCCCTAATACATTTTAAGCTCACTGAAATTCAATTGTAAATATAAAATGAAAATAGAGTCATAAAATATAATATTTAATATTATACACTTCACTGATGCTGCATTTAATTTGTAATCTTAGACACACCAGTCCTATGTTGTATTATTTTTTCCATTAGCATTTTGTATGCATTTATAATCTTTATGTCTTTATCATATCAGCATGAATCAGATCCAGATCCAATTATCATCAGTCATTTTAAAGGTTAATAATTTGAATTACTCACAAAAATGACTTGAATGTATTTGAAAGAGAATGTATTTTCTCACAGCTGTACACATTTACATATATACAGTACCTACACCTGACTATTGCATTCATTGGCAGTACTGTACAGTGTTATTGAAAAGTTCCATGTAGTTTAAGGATATGTTTTAATGAAATAAATAACACATTTTAAATAGCACTTGCTGTTTTCATCTTCCAGAAAAATTATATAATCTCAAGAGACGATGTGTAGAGGTCAACAAGAGAAGGTGTTGGCCTTTAATGACTTTACCAGAAGGGTGGGAATAGAGGGGCCAAGCAAATAGGAAATGCAATTAGTGCTTTGGGGAACAAAGAATGTTAGCTTCTAGAGACAAAAGTTGATGAGTTCTGTGACCTAAGTCGGAAGGACGTAATAATAATAAGCACTTATGCGTTTCCTGATGGAGGGTGGAGAAGAGATATTTCCCTCGATATGCAGAACGCCATGCTTATTTTTAAAAGACCCCAAAGAAAAATTCATCATGACTTAGAGTCGTTACAATGGAACAGTGTTGAGCGTAACGCATTACTTAGTAACGCGTTACTGTCATTTGATTGCTTTTTTAAAACAAGAGAAGGTGTTGGCCTTTAATGACTTTACCAGAAGGGTGGGAATAGAGGGGCCAAGCAAATAGGAAATGCAATTAGTGCTTTGGGGAACAAAGAATGTTAGCTTCTAGAGACAAAAGTTGATGAGTTCTGTGACCTAAGTCGGAAGGACGTAATAATAATAAGCACTTATGCGTTTCCTGATGGAGGGTGGAGAAGGGATATTTCCCTCGATATGCAGAACGCCATGCTTATTTTTAAAAGACCCCAAAGAAAAATCCATCATGATTTAGAGTCGTTACAATGGAACAGTGTTGAGCGTAACGCATTACTTAGTAACGCGTTACTGTCATTTGATTGCTTTTTTAATAACGAGCAATCAAAGTAATTTAACGCGTTATCATTTTCAAAATAGTAATTAGAGTATAGTTACAAGCCGAGGTCTCTATACGTTACTGCCGCGTTACATTGCTGACAGAATGCAGTGTTTTATAATCTACAGAGTGTAAAAAGGATGTAGCACACTCACTGTCGAGTCAAGTGCCAGTGGATTAGAGACCTGCTCCCGCGAGACAAGATCGGCGAGTGCTGGTGCGGGCGGGTTTCGTGTGTGTGCGGGATGCGGGAGAGTAAAATTATTCACGGGACTCCCGCAAAATAGAAATATCTAAACAAAATAGCTCAAACAAATAAATTGTTATTCATCTATTGCACAAAAGCAACATGAACTAATATAAAATATAAACGATTAACAGGTGCAAGCCTATGCAGAGTTTCTATTTAGGCTATAACACGTGTTTGCAGCGTTGAGTAATGCAGTGCTGAAATCTGCGTGCTCACGAATCCTCTCATTATAACACACGAATTGTAGACATGGAAAATTCATTATGCATATATTTATTGTGTTATAACAGAGATTTGTGAGATTGCGATGAACTGAGATGTCTTTTAGAGATTATAAATGCCAAACATGCACGCAGCAGCCGCTTGCTTTAGTTCAATATAACAGTGCTCTGTGAATGTTGATGTTTTAATAACAAATATTTATCGGGAGCGTGTATGCTGGGATTTCATAAATTTCATGGAGAAAAAAGTAAGGTAACTAGTAATGTAACTAATTACTTTTGAAATAAAGTAATCAGAACAGTAACGTGATTACTTTTAAAAGGAGTAATCAGTCATTTGATTACATTTTCAGAGTAACTTGCCCAACACTGCAATGGAGCATGCCAAAAAAAAAAGCCCAGGTGGACTAATCTGGCCTTTTTCAGAGCTATCAGCAGAAGAAACATCAGGATAACATCAGCTAGTTTATATAAAGTTCAGAGACACTGGCACTAAACACTCCACATCCACAAACAATAATTGCATTGAACTTTGAATCATTGAATCTTTGTCAGAGTCACAGAGTCAGAGACATATACAGAAAACAAAGACGTTGGTGTCAACATACCAGACGTCAGAGCCACCAAAACCTGTCTACCCTCTTTGAGAACCGGAGATCTTACTGTCTTAAGTGGAAAAATCATGTATGTCAAACAAAGGATATCCTTTAAGCTGGATAGCAGGCTCCTTCTGTGACGCCTCTATATATTAATTGGCGCCCTGTTTCTTTGCTTTTGTCTGATCCACCTTTTTGGCATTCTTGGTGACAGGATGCTTGTTGACATGGGAAAACATTTTAATTGTTTTACATTATGTTCACATAGGTTACTAGGTCCTACTGAGCATTTAAGATTACTTTCTTCCCAATACTCACAGGCTGGCTGCATATTTAATACTAATTATATTTCAGATCGATTCCATTATTTCACAACTTATTTAGCGTCAGAATGCATTAATTTGATCACTTTACTGACTTTAACCTTCCTGCACGTTGGTTGAGTGATTACTCAGTATGACACTTAAGTGGGTTTGCTTAGGTTGGAGAGTGGCTCTGTTTTAAATAGTGCTTCCCATTGACGCAAAACAATGACAATAGCCTGATGGTTAGCCAGAGCTATTTTAAGCTTATGTGAAGTGGACCTATTGAAAATTTAATTGATAGTTCTTCTTGTACGTATGTTCATTTTACTGTATTGGTGTCATACACCTGTGGCCTGGAGTCATTGTATTTTTTTCGGTAAACACATTTGTTCAGTTCATTTCCGACTTATTTAGAGGCTGACAGAATGTGAAAACATTTTAGAGCTTTGTACTTCAGGTAGGTTCAGGGCTCAGCTGCAATTATGAGTAAGATATACAGTATATATATATTATATTGTAATGCTGTTAACTGCAACAGAATATTAACATTATATCCAAGCCATATTTGCCCCTTTTTATGTGTAGATAACTAAGTTTGACTTTACTAGTATTCCTTATGAATTATTTTAAAAATTCTAAAAAATAAAATAAAAAAAATAAATAAACATGTTCTGCTTATTTTTTATTTACTTTTTTATTCCATGCAGCAAGAGAGCCAATAAAAATAAGTTTACAAAAAATACTATCAAGAAAATTGTAATGATAGATATATACAAGACATATATATATTTTATAAGATATATACAAGCATAAATGAATTTAATGCACAAAAGACATTATCAACTTCATCCCACAAAATGTCATTAATATTCATGTTAATAATTAGTATTCACATCACAGATTTGCAGGGTCAGTACATTTAGGTTTTCTATTTTCAAACCGTTATAGACAGTTCTGGCTGGGATTTTTGCCAGGACTTTGTTCACTCCCTCAATTTGGGAGTGAATAACGATGCAGCTCCTTTAAATGAAGATTGATCTGTGCTGTAAATCAAACATAAAAGGTTAGATATTATGAAAATAGACACAAAAAAAGTCAATAAAATCTGATTAAAAAGTGCAGAGCAATACCACTTCTGCTTGGTATACCTTGGCTTACGTCAGTCCCACCCGTTGGTGTTCTTGTTCCCGCAAGAGTTGCTCCAAATCCAGGTGTGTTAGACCCGAGTGAGCCAACACCTGCACCTCCTACCGCTGGTTTTCCCATCCCTACTCCACTTGATCCTGCACTACTGAATGATGTCAACCCTGTTCCACTTTGTCCAGTCGCAGTAGAGCTTGATCCAGCACTGCCAAATCCTGTCAACCCTGGTCCTACTCCACCCAAACTACTTGTCCCTGTCTGGGCTAGACCTGTTCTAGTTGATCCTGGCCCACCTAATCCTGTGCTGCCCAGTCCACCTGAAAGAGTCCCTGTCCCCCCTACAGCTGTATTTAATGACCCTGTCACACCTGTTCCTGTGCTGCCCCATCTTGTGCTTGATCCTACACCATTAAGACTGGGAAATGCTGATCCAGTGGAGCCGGCCCCGGTCCATGGCAAGTTTGGTTTGCTCAGACCTGTAGAACTCATACCGGTCCCACCTGTATTTGGTATGTTTGGCAGACCGAAGGGGTTTGGCATGAATGGGTTAGTTCGCATTGGCGGCTGAAAAAAAGAAAAAGTAATTAAAGATCATTACAAACACATTTAATTTACAATTGCATACATAATTGTTTGTAATATTAAAATAAATACATATATAATATGTATAAAAGAACCATATTAACCTCACCTTACAGTTGGCAAGTGAAGTATTGAGATTCTCAACGGTGTTTGTGAGCGTCTTAATTTCTTTTTCTCTCAAAGAGATGAGCTCGCCTTTTAGTTTGTTATCATCTTTTAGTTTTCTGTTCTCCAGCAGAAGTTTTTCACTGTCTTGGTCATTCTTGAGCTGAAGTTGCTCAAGAGTTCTGCGACTCTCGCGAATCATGGCACTGCGATTCTGATTGCACCACGTAGCGTCCTCTTTCAGGCGTATGTTGTCTATCACATATTTGGCATTTTCCCCATTAATTTTTGTGAACTGGTTCCCCACTATGTCCAGATATGACTGGAGCTTGTTCTCGACTTCTCTTGAAAGACTGCTACAGTTTTCCCGAATGTCTTCAAGCTGATTTTTTTGTTTATCACACGTTAGCTGGAAAGAAATATGTTTTGAGAAGAGGTCATCGATTCGTTTGAGGAATTCTTTGGTGACATCGGGGATTCCTCGTAAAGAAGTGACAAAATCCTCTTTGCACTTCTTTTGGTACAAGGCGAGCTCATCTTCAAGGAAAGCCTTGTCTCGCCTTAGTCTAATAGTTTCCAAGTGATATCCATCCTTGTCTTTGTTAGAGTTGTCCAGCTCAGTTCTCACATTAGCCACCATCTGAGTAAAGTTCGCTTTAACCAGCTTTAGCATTTCCTCTGACTGCTGGAGCATACTTTGCAAACGTCTGTTGTCTTTAAAAAAAAACAATATAGTTGAAACTGTTGATCTGGTTGATTAACTTTATGCAGGAGTTACAGTCATTGTGTTAAACAAAAATTCAGAATGTTTGTATTTAAGTACTTTATAAAATATAAGAAATATTCAGTGTAAGATTTTTTTTCTGAAAAACCATCTCACCACTTGAATCTGGACAGAACGTAGGAGGGCATGCACGGGGAGCAGCCATTCTTTTTTCCATCTCGCATCGAGACTATAAAAAAAAGGGCACAAAAAACTATTAATTGAGGTTGAAGTCATGCATTTTAGCTCTCTAATTCTCTATCTGCAACATTCATGGAAGCCTAAGTTAATGGTAATTATCATTGTGCCAGTGTTTTCCAGAATGTTCCAATGAAAGGTTCTTACAACATTAAAAAAGCATATTTTTAAAAACATTTTGACAAAACTTGCAGAAATTACTATTTCATAGACTAATGCGAACGTTAAGAAAACATTCGATATGACTGGAGCTTGTTCTCGACTTCTCTTGAAAGACTGCTACAGTTTTCCCGAATGTCTTCAAGCTGATTTTTTTGTTTATCACACGTTAGCTGGAAAGAAATATGTTTTGAGAAGAGGTCATCGATTCGTTTGAGGAATTCTTTGGTGACATCGGGGATTCCTCGTAAAGAAGTGACAAAATCCTCTTTGCACTTCTTTTGGTACAAGGCGAGCTCATCTTCAAGGAAAGCCTTGTCTCGCCTTAGTCTAATAGTTTCCAAGTGATATCCATCCTTGTCTTTGTTAGAGTTGTCCAGCTCAGTTCTCACATTAGCCACCATCTGAGTAAAGTTCGCTTTAACCAGCTTTAGCATTTCCTCTGACTGCTGGAGCATACTTTGCAAACGTCTGTTGTCTTTAAAAAAAAACAATATAGTTGAAACTGTTGATCTGGTTGATTAACTTTATGCAGGAGTTACAGTCATTGTGTTAAACAAACAAAAATTCAGAATGTTTGTATTTAAGTACCTTATAAAATATAAGAAATATTCAGTGTAAGATTTTTTTTCTGAAAAACCATCTCACCACTTGAATCTGGACAGAACGTAGGAGGGCATGCACGGGGAGCAGCCATTCTTTTTTCCATCTCGCATCGAGACTATAAAAAAAAGGGCACAAAAAACTATTAATTGAGGTTGAAGTCATGCATTTTAGCTCTCTAATTCTCTATCTGCAACATTCATGGAAGCCTAAGTTAATGGTAATTATCATTGTGCCAGTGTTTTCCAGAATGTTCCAATGAAAGGTTCTTACAACATTAAAAAAGCATATTTTTAAAAACATTTTGACAAAACTTGCAGAAATTACTATTTCATAGACTAATGCGAACGTTAAGAAAACATTCTGAGAACAATATACATCATGCAATTAAATGCACCAAACACCACAGCATTCTCTTTTGTATGAAACATAATGTTATCTACTACAAATTAATTGACTGAATACATCAATTTTTTTGACCCAAATCTCACCATTGTTGTTTGCATGCTCCTTATTGCCGCAGATGAGGTGTTCGCCAGTCTGCGTAATTCAGCCAGAGGTTTGTCATTTTTCAGCTTTGCAGTGAGAGTGACGTTCAGAACTTTGGTGAGGTTCTTTTCCTTCCCACGGAGAATGAAATTTTCCATCGTGAGTTTGCTGACGCTTTGGTCCAACTCTTGCAGCCTCTTCTCCTCCACCGTGTGCTCGGGCTGTCCATACACCAGAAAGAGCACCAGACTTGCGATGATCAGAGACTGGATGAGTGAGGAGAAAAAGAAGACAATCTTCATGTAGTAACCACAGCTCTTGCCTTTCGACTTGTGCATCTTCTTGGCAGCCAAGCCAAAGTTGGCCTGAGAGTAACTGCTGTTGTACATCACTGCCCTAATCAAGCTCCTTCACTATGCAAAATGTTCTCCTAAAACATCAAAGGCAAAATAAGAAGTTAAATATGTTAACGCTGCCAACTTATATTGTTTTCCTGCACCTCCCATTGGATGACACTTCCCTGATCCACCCTATGCTCACGATTCCCGAGGTTAGAACAACATCACGCACTGACCAGGGGGTGGCCCAAACCCAGACTGTACATTGTCTCCAAAACAGATCCTTTTGTTTGACAGCATGTTGGCACTTGAGAAAGCTCATGGTTGATGGTTTGACTATGTGCTGTTTTGAACAGTTATTCAGAGATGAATTGAATCTATCTACGTTTATGACCACAATATTGTACAACTTTTTTATATTGGTATCATGTAACAGATGCTCTAAAATACTCCTGATTGACTCGAGAATTGTAAAACACATTCCTACATGCTGTCACAAATTCTTTCTAATGTAGGTAGGATGAGGATGTGGTTTGTATATCGTGTCTTACTAAAACATTATCTTTGACCAAAGCATTTCAATCCATGGCCAGTTTTACTTTAAACATGATGAAATTAGGTTACCAGCTTGGTGCCTTTATATAATATTCTGTAGTTGTTCAGCCATATGTTTCTATTTTATTCTGATATCTTATATATCTTAAGAGGATAGGAATATTATGAAAGCATGTGGCTTTCCTGCCAGGAACTGTTGATGTGCCACCCTGATTCCAAGAGGAAACAGTAATTCATAGCTGTGTCTCAGAGTGACAAACGTAGAAGGCACTGTCTGGACACTTCTTAGGTAAACTACTGAACAAATGAAGGAAATCAGTAATAAACACAGATGTATACACATCTGCTGACATTATCAAGAATTAATCGTCCTGTTTATCTGTTTCTAAAATACGACTGACGTTAAAATTATCATCATGTAACGAGATTCACTCGCACTCTGTTGTTTCAAATGTTTCCAAATCCCATAAACCTGCCAAAGCACACATTACCTCATTAACGTTAAAGCATTTGTGCTTGTATTATGTAATTACACCGACGAGACTTTACATAACAACAAGAGAAATATAAAAAAGAAAATAATGAAACATAACTTAAAAGCAATGAAGCTTGTGATGATCTACAGAAAATAATTTTGGGGTGACAGCAAAAAACCTTAACCCAGTAGAGTAAAATGCTTTGTTTGGATGGCATTAGGAATAATACGTGATACATGGTTTGATAGTTAGCTACCTAAACTAAATTGCCTTTGAGATGCTAGTTCTCCACAGGTATAGTATAGCAGACTTCCTTTGGATGCTCCCAGCTAACAAAAAATATGTTCTAAAAACAATTAGCTAACGTTCCCTTTAAGTTGTGAAAATGTTATTTCTGAATGTTCTCTGAACGTGCAAAATGTCCAAAATGTTTTTTATTTATTTATTTATATGGGTTATGTGAACATTCCATAGTTCTGAGAATGTTCCTTGTTAGCTGGGCTCAAACAGAGCAATGTTTTTATAGAGCTACAGAGTCAGTGTTTACACTTTTCAGATAAATTAGTCTCTGATACTAAACTGGAATAGCCTAGGTATATATGGATTTTAACATAAACAAATTACAGAATTCTCTTCATCTCACCACTAGATGGAGATATTTCCAAATAACACTAGCATTTTTGTCATTTAACAGACACATTAAAATAAAATATGATACAAATGTTTTATTTCATTGCAAAATAAAATTAATTAATAAAGCGGTATGGAATATTTAATAAAATGTAATATTCAAAAATAAAATACAAATATTTTATTGCATAATAAAAACAATATTTTATTAAACATCTTTGAAGCCCATGTATGTTCCAACATGCTTTCAGGGCTTGGTAAAGTCAGCACAAGTAAGAGTCGCAATGCTACCCCATATCCTAAAAGAGATCAGTCACATTCCTGAACCCTGGGGTCAAAGGCCAAATAAACACCAAGCTTGTACAATGCACATAACTCAAGCATGCGCTCTCAGACTCACACTCCTCTTTTCTTTAGTGCTCTCTTTCAAATAACACTAGCATTTTTGTCATTTAACAGACACATTAAAATAAAATATGATACAAATGTTTTATTTCATTGCAAAATAAAATTAATTAATAAAGCGGTATGGAATATTTAATAAAATGTAATATTCAAAAATAAAATACAAATATTTTATTGCATAATAAAAACAATATTTTATTAAACATCTTTGAAGCCCATGTATGTTCCAACATGCTTTCAGGGCTTGGTAAAGTCAGCACAAGTAAGAGTCGCAATGCTACCCCATATCCTAAAAGAGATCAATCACATTCCTGAACCCTGGGGTCAAAGGCCAAATAAACACCAAGCTTGTACAATGCACATAACTCAAGCATGCGCTCTCAGACTCACACTCCTCTTTTCTTTAGTGCTCTCTTTCACACACACACACACACTCACACAAACACACATGTCTTTGTGTGGGGGAAAAGACTTTACATTCTGCTAAGAAAAAGAGCTGATGTAAATTGATGATGCCAAATCCGTTTGCTTCTGGTTTCGTTGAGAAACCAAAGTATGCTTTTGTTTCTGTTGTTTCTAAGAATATGATTTCACAGAAACGGTTGAGAAGGAAGCAGAGGTTGAGTGAGGGCAGCAAATGCAATGTTTTTCTCTTGAGTGTGACCCTTGAATAATTATGTGAACTGGTGGCCAAGATCTAAATCTCAAAACAAGAGACAGCTGTCTCCTGGATCAACAACAAGTTGTACAGCCTGGATGGTTTCTCATTGTTTGAAAGTAATACAAAATTATAAATTAAAGAAACTCTGCATTCCTTTTCATACAGGAAACAATGCTGAACCAAAATCTTTGGCTGAACCGGTGACCTTGTAAAGCTCACCTGCATTGTTTGGTAATTGCACAAAATATTATTATTACACAAAATTATGCCTTTCCTACCCTCTGACCTCTTGCCACATAAACCTGGATTGAATTCAAGCTTTACCTCACCTGTAGATATGTTCTCAGGTTATTACTCAAACCTCTTCTGGTAACTGCCATTAACATGATTTGTGCTTTTTTTTAACACTTTGATCATAAAGCATATCTGGGCATTTTAATGTTTCCTCAAAACTACTGCCTATTTTTACATTATTTTTTAATACTAGTAAGTAATCTGTTAGTGACTAGTAGTATCAACTTTAATGTTACTCCGTAACAAACTAGTACTCAGAGACTAACTAATCCATTGCAACTGAAAACAAACTGCACATATTTTGAATTCCATTTGGGATCTGTAGTTCAGATATCAACTAGTCACTTCCAACAACCATGTATATCAATTTGTAGTTTCACCAGTATTCCAGTTGTTGCTGGTACCTATTTTTGATACCTAGCTTTACTGTTCTATACTCATTTAGGTACTACTCATTTCTAATCCTATTTACTATATATTAGTCATTGCTGGGTAGTAACTGATTACATGTAATATGGATTATGTAATCAGATTCCAAGTAATTAATTAGATTGTTATTAGATTATATTGCATTTTAGAATACTCGTAATCAGACTACAGTTACTTTTTTATTGATTACATTATTCATAATTTATTGATTCTCGCTAATTCTTTTTCTTCTTTTAAATGGTCCTTTCTAAAATAGCCTATACACTCAGAAAGTCAATTTTAATTGTTTTCTTGTCTTTTTTTGGTGAGTGTTTTATTTTGTTTTATTTTAAATAATGCTGTTATTTTAAAATGATAAAATTAGGATTTAATTAGTTATTTTCTTTTCATTATACTTACGAACCCCCTGCAGTTCCTTCACAAATTACAGTTTGGGAAACCTTGACGTAATGTAATGTTTAATGCACATCATGTTGTTAATAAAAATTAATAGAATACATTTTCTTTCTCTTTGTACTGTATATCAACGAGATGTTCTTATTTAAATCAATGTGATAAACAAGTTAGGTCAAAAGTAATCTAAATGTAATCAAAAAGTAGTCTCATTAGATTACCTTAAATGTGTAATGTAATGGATTATGTTACTAACTACTATTTTGGTTGCACTTTATTTTACAGTACGCGCACTTACATGTACTTACAGTGTACCTATAAGTACTGGTAATATAAGGTAACTACATGGGGTAGGGTTAGTACCTAGTTTTTACCTAGTTATTGTAGTTACTATAATAAGTACATAGTATAAACATGAGTAACAGGACTGTAAAATAAAGTGCTACCACAATTTTTGTCATGTAATTTGGAATCAGTAACACACTTTAATTTGTAAGTAATTACACTTTATTAGACACTACTGTGGCATTTTCAGTATCACTAGTAAAACTTTTAATTGAAGTATAAAGCAACCATTCTGAGTCATTAGTAAAAAGACAACTGTAACTAATGAGATGAGAAATGTTACTCTTAACTACTGGGAAAGATATTATATAGCCTCTTATAAATAGACACTAAATAAGCACTGGTAAAGTTGGAGTAGAAAATAAATACTGTAATAAGTATTATGCTAGTATTTAATAAATCATACTTGTGAAAATTTAAAAGATACTAGTCACTGCTGGTATGACTGACTAGTAGTTAAAAATAGCCTACTAGTAACATTAAAATGATACAAGCTAGTTTAAATACTTCCTTCATAAATGTTTTGCCTGATTTAAAATGATTAATAATATTATAGAGCATTATATACCTAGCCTGTGCATGGCTCCGGACTGAATGTTCTCCTATGCTATTTACTGGTTTGGCGTCCTGTAGGCATATTTGCAGTCCTTTGAAGCACGCCTGAGGTCACTGATCTCTCAGGAGCAAAACACCACATTCTTTTTTTGTGTGCCCAGCAGAGCAGCTCTTTGACTTCTTTGCCCATATAAGGCAGCACGGTTAAGACAGCTGACTCCACTGTGATGTGACTCTCTCTCTCTCTCTCTCTCTCACACACACACACACACAGGCACTCGCGCTCTACTGGACACTGGCTGGCTCGCGCTATCTCTTGTCCTCTTCAAGCCAGCGCGACTTTTGCACTTCCAAAAAAAGGTAGGGATACTGAAACACTCCCGGGGTTTCGCCGCGGTTATCGGTACGCTAGCTTGTCATTCGGGGCGTCAAAGGTGAGCGAGAATATATAGAGAGTTCGCCGAAGTCATGAGTGAGGTAACGTATGTCGCTAAAGCTATGGCTCCACCCCTCCCCCTGCCTGAGGATCGCTGGAGGTTAGGCCGCATGTCTGTTACTGGCGCTCATAAAAAAAACAAGAAAGGGGACGTTTAGCTCCGGATCACGGCGAAACCATTAACACGAGCTTACGTTATGGTTTCACCCGTTCCGTTTTTGATTCAGCCGTTTTCAATCAGCGCCACAGTAACTGTTAGAGAGACTCCAAAAGTCTGCCCTCATTTCACAACAAACAAGCGCAGCACTTCCTTGAACAATCAGTACAGTGCAGGAAGGCGCTGCTTTTTATACCGAGATGTTCTGATTAGTATGCGATTATAGCTTGTTATGGTATGCTTTTTAGACGTTTATATTTTGAAATATCACTGTATGTGTGGGTGTGTTTCTGTTTTGTTCCTCATTACTGGATCTTGGCAAGGAATTTTGAAAGGTTAGACATTTTAGTAAAATTCTTTGGTAATCTCTGGCTACTAGGCTCCAATGTGTTTTTTGAACATTAAAGCATGTCACCATTCTGTTACACCAAATAATGATCTTTAAAAAAGCATCATATGACCCCTTTAAAATATATTAATAGTTGATATATTATGCATTCATATTGTAAAAGCCACAGTATGTAGAGCAAAACTTGTTAAACGGTCAGGGTTCCTGCTCTCTTAGTAAATTAAGAATTATCCAGGGCAGGAAAAGTCATGGAAATGTTTTTAGGTGACATATGCTATTAGTTTTGCGCCATTAATTATTAAGTTAATAATTGAAATGAATTATTAGGCTAGAAACAACTTTTTTAATGCTATGTACATTTAATTCAGGAATCACAAAAGACCGAAATCCTGTAGTCAGAAAGTGAAAGTGACGTGACACGTGGCCAAGTATGGTGACCCATACTAGTGCTCTGCATTTAACCCATCCAAAGTGCACACACACAGCAGTGAACACACACACACCGTGAACACACACCCGGAGCAGTGGGCAGCCATTTATGCTGCGGCGCAGGGGAGCAGTTGGGGGTTTGGTGCCTTGCTCAAGGGCACCTCAGTTGTGGTATTGAAGATGGAAGAGAGTACATTCACTCACCCACCTACAATTCCTGCCGGACCGGAGACTCGAACCCGCAACTTTTGGGTTACGAATCCAACTCTCTAACCATTAGGCCACAACTCCCCCCTTATCTAGTGTAGAAACCCTGTATTACCCCTGTAGAAACCCCTGAGTAACTTTTTTTTCTTTTACAGGTTGGCATCTAGATTGGAAACTGACATCTAAACGACACGTTATTCGAGGGGTGACTAAAGAAGCTGGAGCAAAAAGTGAATATGGTCAGTCAAGGAGGCAAAACAACATGCACAGCCCACTTTCCGAAGACCAAAGTTGACTGACTCAGACTCGTGACTCGTGTCTGAGCCTAAATGTGTGAGACGAAGCTGTGGACAGTTACCAGATATAGAGGCCGTCATATCTTCTCATTTTAGAACACACAGCTGTCAAAAAAGGGGGTCAACTGAAACCGTCTGTGCCGACAGCACATTTGGGAGTATTTTTCCTCCTCGGTTGTGCTGAGAACTAAGCGATGGCCATGGTGAGAGGGGGGTGGGGAGATCCCAATGGGGAGACTAATGGACTTGGTGACAAGGGGTACCTGAGGGGAGATGAGGACGATGGGTCACCGCAAGGAGGCGGCAGCGACATGGAGGCCGGGGAGGATGATAAAAGTTGTGTGGTGGACTGTGGGGTCTGCGGTGACAAGTCCAGTGGGAAACACTACGGCGTGTTTACTTGTGAGGGCTGCAAGAGCTTCTTCAAACGGAGTGTCCGACGAAACCTAAACTATACCTGCAGGTAATGGAGGGAAAGTCAGCGATATTTATGTATGTGTTAGCTGTACGTGTTAGTTGATCATGTAGTTGACATGTTAATTTCAGTCTCACCATTAAGCCATTTTTTTTGGTCCCTTTCAGATCAAACCAAGACTGCCAGATTGACCAACATCATCGCAACCAGTGTCAATACTGTCGCTTAAAGAAGTGTTTCCGAGTGGGAATGCGCAAAGAAGGTAACTGTCTATCCCTCTCATCAAATCAGTCGGAATGGCTTTCTGTCATTGTTTAGTGCACACAGACTCAGTCAACTGATCCACTGATTTGTCAACATGTTATAGAATATATAGTAAGCAATGGGCTGTGTTTCATTGACATATTTAGGACACATTTTCAAGCATACACTACTGTTTAAAAGTTTGGGCTTAAGATTTTTTTAAATGTTTTTGAAAGGAGTTAATTATGCTCACCAGAATCACATTTATTTTACCATAAATACAGTGGCTATACAGTAGTATTGTGAAATATTGTTGCAATTTAAAAATTAGTTTCTGTTTGAATATATTTTCAAATATAATTGATTCCTGTGACAGCAAAGCTGAATTTTCAGCAGCCATTGCTCCAGTCTTCAGTCACATGATCCTTCAGAAATCATTCTAATACGCTGATTTGCTGCTCAAGAAACATTTCTTACTATTAGCAATGTTGAAAACAGGTGTCCTGCTTAATTTTGAGGAAACCATGGTCCATTTTATATGTTTTTTTGATGAACTAAGTTCAAAAGAACATTTATTTGAAACTGAAATCTTTTGAAGAAGAGTATTAACAAGAATATTAAAGCTGAATAAGATTTTTTTTTTTTTTTTTACTGTTTTAACACTACTGAATCTACAGCGTCATGGGAAAGAAATTATATTTTACACAAATTGTGAGTTGGCTGTATGAATTGAATGTGAATGGGAACCTCAAAATTCGTTTTTTTTACTACATTGTTTTCACTGACTGCATGCAAAAACAAGCATACAGCGTAAATGGTGTAATCCAATTCACAAAACATGACTCTTAGAAACAGGTTATTTTAATGACTTGTTAAAAGAACTCACAGGTTACTGGTTTGAAGCAGTCTGACAAACGTAATGGGTTGCTAAAGCGGAAAGCTGTAGAGATCACCGTTTTATATTTGATAGTTAGAGTGACAAGAGTCTAAGAGCTGTATTTTATTTTAAGCCGACCCAGATGGTGTTTGTTTACCACAATTGCCAGTGCACATGATGAAACTTACATTAGGGTGTGATGACCTATATATTTCACTTGTTTCCTCAACAGTTTTGCTTTTAAAACAGAGTGATGGTTAGAATGTTTAGCTTTTTATTGAACATTTTCATTCCTCGTTTATAAAGTCTCTCAAGGTTCAAGCAGAACGGTGTTTGCAGGTTCCGTTTTCATTTTTTGAGTGCTTGTGTAATCAGGAATTAGATGTTTCTAATCCCTTGGGTCAGTAATCTGACTCTCCGCCAGATGTTGCATGTTAGCAAAAGAAAGGAGCGTTGAAACTTAGTAATGTCATCTATCAAGCGTTTCAACTCCATCACGACTCTCCCCTTCTCTCTCCCCTTTCCCCCTTTAGCAGTTCAGCGTGGACGCATCCCACCTTCGCATTCAAGCCTCAGCCCATCCACGACTCCAGTGGGCGGTAATGCCGGCAGTGGCGTGAGCGAGTTCTACAACGGGCAGCCGGTGTCTGAGCTCATCTCCCAGCTCCTGCGGGCAGAGCCTTACCCTAACAGCCGCTACAGCCATCAGTACAACCAGCAGATGCAGGGGGGCGGAGGATCCATGGGCATCGACAGCATCTGCGAGCTAGCCGCCAGACTCCTGTTTAGCATCATCGAATGGGCCCGAAACATTCCTTACTTCCCCGAGCTGCCTGTATCTGATCAGGTGGCCTTGCTGCGGCTCAGCTGGAGCGAACTGTTTATACTCAACGCCGCCCAATCTGCCCTGCCCCTGCACATGGCCCCGCTGCTTGCCGCCGCAGGCTTTCACTCCTCTCCCATGTCTGCCGAGAGGGTGGTGTCCTTCATGGACCAGGTGCGCATCTTCCAGGACCAAGTGGAGAAGCTGACCCGCCTGCAAGTGGATACAGCAGAGTACAGCTGTCTGAAGGCCATTGCGCTCTTCTCACCAGGTGTGCCAGACACATTACTCAGATTAAACTGCATTTAACCGAACATAATCGGATCAAAGAAGATGTAATATATTTGTATTCTGTACAGAATGGTAGAGAATGGTGAGTATTGAATTTCTAGCATAATGCTAGCACCCTCTACTGGAGAAGACAATCCTTTTCAGTGTTTCCTAAGCGCTTTAAGAAGCACCTTTATATTAGAACATATTGTTAAGAATAAGGCAAATTATAGATCAGATACCTTCATTATGCAGATATTCTGTCCTGTAGCGTCACACCTTTAGTAAGAGTTTAAATCTATTCATTTAGCACTTGTATCCAAATGACTCAATGTGCATTCAAACGTTTTTAGTATACATGTTCCCAGGGAATTCAACTTATGCAGGGCTCAGAGTTTTTTTTTTTTTCCAGTACGTTTGTTTTTCTTAGTCCAACCACAGATTGATCAGAATTTAGTTTTTTTTTTTTACATACTTTATATGTAATCATTAAAAACAATCATTATCATCGTCATTAAATATCGGTTTAATTTATCATTTATATTTGAAAACATGTACATTTAAAACACACGTGTTTATTTTACAAAGAAGAAATTTGCTGTAATAAGTCATTGCTGAAAATGATACTGTTATAATGTAAGCCATTAATTTCTTAACTCTTGAAGTGCTGGTATACATGGCTAAGCATTACTAATTAGTTTTTACTTCATTTGTAATGCGTTCTTGCAATTTCTACAAAATTTGGTAGCATGCTAGATAATTTTATCTTGTGACAAGTTTAAATTGGTATAATGTGCAACTAAATGTTTAAGTTATCAAGGCGTGATAACAAATGACAGTGCAGCACTGGCCATCAGTTGACCTCAAACTCGTACAATGAAGCCAACTTTCCACTATCTCTGACATTTTTTTAACATTTTGTCCCTAAAAGGCGGACACACTGAACCTTCAAATTGGTTGTGAAGCAGCCATTACCTTCCGTTTATTCACTATGGTTAAATAAATGAACTGTACATTTATGAATATACCCATTATGTAATAATTATAAAATAATTACTTGGAGCATAAGTATGGTTTACACTATATATTGATCATTTGCAACTTGTCAACTAACTTTAGATTATTATTAGACTGTTAGGTTAAGATTAGGGTTAGTAGAAGAAGTTACTAGTCAGTAGAATGGGTGTTGATGACTGGTATTTGACATGTAGTTGCAAAGTTACTTATAGTTAGGAGAACATTAGAGTGGACTATCAAAATAGCATGTTGCCATAAATATTCATTACCACACATTTTACAGAAATAGTATTTAAAGATCAAATGTTAAGTCCAAAAATTGCAGTTCTCACCTCACAATCCTAGTTTTGATTCGACTCGATTCTTTCATTGTATCCAAAACCAAATCAGATCTGAAAGCTCCACATAACTCAATGTACCTCTCACTTATACTACTTCCCATTGGAAATGAGTGACTTGTTGGCAACTTGACTCAGGCCAGCGTTTCTCCATATTGTTGAGCTCTACCATGACCTTGTCCTTGCTAGCATCATGCTTTACCAGTTGAGTTAGAGGGAGTCTAGTTTGGAGTCTAGTTTCATACCTGAATATCTGGTGTTCTTTGTGTTTAGATGCGTGTGGGCTGACAGACCCGGCTCATGTGGAAAGCCTGCAGGAAAAAGCTCAGGTGGCCCTGACCGAGTACGAGCGCATGCAGTACCCCGGGCAGCCCCAACGCTTCGGACGGCTCCTACTGCGACTGCCCGCTCTGAGGGCCGTGCCCGCCAACCTCATCTCTCAGCTCTTCTTCATGCGCCTGGTGGGCAAAACGCCCATCGAGACGCTCATCCGTGACATGCAGCTGTCTGGCAGTGCCATCAGTTGGCCGTACGCACCCGGACAATAACCATTATCAGATGTGACCATGAAACCAAACTATCTCAGTGTGATTGTGTTTTTTCAACCACACATTCACTTCTGATATTCACCGGATCACCTAATGCAAAAGGTTAATACTGTGGGAATGGTGGATTCAGTAGTACATGGCAGAAGGCTTGATGTATGCTCTGTGTGAACTGTTTTATGAGGCCTAGAAGCATTCTTAAAAAATGACTTGAGAAATCTTGGTTATCTGCTAGCCAAAGGTAAGATGTTAGGTACAGTTTCTTAGCGAGTTATTTAGTGGAAATTGGTAAAAACCCTAAACAACAAGCTCTGTCAGTTGGGTGTAAACATGAAAGTCACTTTAGACTGTCCCTGGAGGCAGCAGGAAATCAAGTCCCCCTCATATTCTGCTCTGTCCTGTCCCTGTGTACCAGAAAGCCTGAAGGAGGAGGAAGTAGACATGATGACATCCAAAAACCCAAACAAGCCAAACTAAAACAGTCAGAATTGGGACTTAGGCATTTGTTTTGGCAATGATAACTACTTGGCTTGTATTTTTTAGCTCTTTTCCCCTATTAATGCTAATGCATATCTATGAGGAGAGACTGAAATTTGCAAAAGCTAGTAGATAATGTTTTGTGACAACCATTTGAAAAATTAATTGCGGGCTGTATTTGTACTTTGAGTTAAGGTACAGACTTGTCCCTTCACGAAAGATTCATTTTTTAATGCACACTGCATTTGCGATAGAAGACAAATGAAGTAGTCATGCTTTTTTTTTTCCAGATGAAAAACCAGTGAACATTCTTCATGCAAGTTGTTCATCAACACTCTACTGGTTTTCTATTCTGCTTTTCTTTTTTTTTCTCACTTACCAGTTCATGTTAAACTGGTAATGAAGTCACATTATGTATGTTGACCAAAAGAAATACCTCTACAGTCTTTTGAGACTCAAACGGACTTTCAGTCATTCACGGCTGGGTCAGTTTTTAAATTTATCAGCACACTTGAGCTGCTCACTTTACACTAAAGAGGAGTGATTGGATCTATCTGTCTGTTATGTTTGGCCGTTTTCAGTAAGAAACTGGCATTGCCTGTTTTGTCTTTCGTGGAGCAGTGCTCTGGTGTGGCGTCTCGCAGGTGACAGCATGTTGTATTTGGCTCTTGTTGTGAGATGTACGTTTTCTAGCCTTATCATACATGTGAATGACTAATATTACCTCATATTTAGGCCTTGAAACGTATCAGGCGGTCTAATATACATAAATGCATCAAAACGGCAACATGTACAGTTTTCATTTTAATATCTTTGTCTTTTTAAATACTTGTGTATGACAGCTTGATTAAACAAAAGTATCATACATTGAATTGTGCTTTTTTTTTGTCAGTTACCTATCAAATTACAAAGGAAACGTTTTCTTTAAGAGTTTTATACACAAATTGTAAAGAGATCATTTTACAGGAAAATCTAAATTTTTTACAACTCTTGCAACTTTACAGACACAACTCACTCAGCACAGCTTGTAAAAGTCTAGATGATAATAATAATACATTTTATTTAGTATAGCGCCTTTAAAAGAGTACTTTCTCAAAGCGCTTTACAACACAAACAAACACAAAAATCCAAAGTAATACACAAGAATACAGAGTAACAATCAGTTAAAAGCAAGACGAAAATAAAAAGTTTTAAGACAAGATTTAAAAATCCCTAACGAATTTGCTTCCCTGATGTCAGCCGGGAGAGAATTCCAC